AATTTCTATTTTTAGTAACCACGGCAACACCGTTCATCGAAATCAAAAACCGATACACAGAATTATGTATTTTAGTGTAGTCTACTTGTGTGCCAAGTTATATTGAAATCAGACTAAAACTGTAGGAGGAGTAGCATTTTGAAAGAATTTCACAGAAATTTCTATTTTTAGTAACCACGGCAACACCGTTCATCGAAATCAAAAACCGATACACAGAATTATGTATCTTAGTGTAGTCTACTTGTGTGCCAAGTTATACTGAAATCAGACCAAAACTGTAGGAGGAGTAGCATATTGAAAAATTGTTTACAGACAGACAGACGGACAGACAGACAGACAGACGGACGGACGGACGACGGACGCATTACTATCGCATAAGCTCTTCTGGTCTCTGACCAGTAGAGCTGAAACACACAATCCTGGAACCAAGCCCCATTGACTAAAATTTAAGCAACGTATATCTGTCTAAGCATAAACCAAAGAAGACCGAGTACGACATTTTTTTTCTTATTTATGCATGATCATGAACCGATGTGTTTATGTCTATAAAACAAATATATGGTCAGATGCAGCAGAATGTGTTTTTACTCTTTACACGTAAAAGCAAGCATATACCGGTATTACTTAATCCAACTTTTATTTTTAAGAGGCATTTTCTTGTTATAAATGATGTATTTTATAAATTAACTTATATTATTTAAGATCAATGTACAGAAGCGAGTTGTGGGTCAGTAGACAAGTATAATTCTGTTCCATTGCTGGCTGATTCGATATCTATGGTAATGAGTTTTAATCGGCAATAGTATTATTGATAAAATATAGCGGTATTGATCACCCGAAATTTAATTTAAAAGAAATGTAGCGTAAATGAATTGAAATTTTCGCAATGTAGCGGTAATGTTGACCTCCCCAAAGATATAGAAATTGCGGGATCCAAATACAGGCAACTATACATTATTCTGGGTCAATACATTGAATAGATAGAACACCGTCGGATACTGAGTATTTACTTTTCCATCTATAAAATGTTCAATAATTGTTTATTTGATTACACTTCCCTTAAATCTCAATGTGTGATATTTTTTTCTGAATAAACCTAAATTTGTAAATGATTTTCTGAGATTTCAACCTAACGTATATTTTTAATTATTGAAACATCGCGATTCACTTCTTAACGCGCGATCTTCATAGCAACATTTTAGTCGTTTTTTTCTTTCAAATAATTAGTAATTGAAGCTTTCGTTCACATCTTTATAAGAATTTGTATTTAGATATATAAACTTTAGGAAGAACACAACTATCGTACGATAAAAAGTTTAGAATAAATTAGCCTTTTTTTTCTTGTAGATTTATACAATGTAGTACATTAAAAACAATAGCTCATACATATTAATAAAAAAAAATCGTTAAAATTTAACAATGATTCACTGCAATTAGGCTATAAAATCTAGCCGTTTTCCCTTATCCCTCCGATACTCATGGGAAAGTATATAAAATATTGTGGGTCACGCGCGAAATCCTGCCAATGCACTCAGCGGTAAGATTTCATATATATAAAATTGCATTGTGGGTCATTTTTTGATTGTGTAATTATGGGTCAAAAATTTTTTTTTTGTAAAAAATGAATATACTTACTATTTTATTGTCATAAACAAAATTTTAGGCACATGGTTTGTGGGTCAATATATAATGACCCATAAACCATCCATGGTACCCACAACGTGAGTGAAAAAGATGCAAAATAACCCACAATCCGCATGGCACAAAACTATATATATATATATATATATATATATATATATATATACGAGGGCTGTTCAATAAATAATGTCCTGAACTATATAACATACATTACAGATACCATATGACATTAAACTCGACCTTCTCTCATTATTGAATCTTTCATGAATTTATAACAGTTTATGTGACCACTTTTCATCACATAGTTTCATCGTGAGAAGCTGGGAAACAAGGGCTTTTCGAGACACTGCATTATAAATGAATGGTAAAGAATCAGTAAACTAGAGTGAAAATAAAAGCTTCATTATAGCTTCCGTAAAACTTGTTAAAAATCCGAAAGAAATATTCACTGAAATATATGACATTTACTGCAACCAATGCCTGTTTTATAGACAAAAGAGCAACTGGATTTCAATGATAAAAAAGATTATATAATGGGCATCAAAAATAGGTACCCTCCTTGCCAACAAAAATTATAACAACTTATGTACTGGTTGCCAAATTTCAACAAATAATATTTGATGATGTATGATTGACTTTAAGACACATAGCAAATTTGATAGACATCATATCGGGAGTAGTTTACACTGTTTTAAAGAAACGTTTGACGATACAAAAGCTTGGTACTCAAAGGTCACCCTATATTTTGAAAAATGAGTGAGAACGACAGCGTATACGAAATTCTTAACAATTATTTTAAAATATCAGTAATTTTAGTTATCCAAGTTTGTTTTATTTTCAAACAGATATTAGAACATGAATCTATTGATTAAAACTTTCAAAACAAAATTTACCATAAGATGTACTTGATAAAAACAGCGAATGTCTGACAAGAGCCGAGTATTCAAGAGCACAAAGATATATTTATATGTAGTTTTCTTAAAAATTAGTTGTATTGTTGTTCAAATTCGTATTCGGAGAGACAGATTAATTTCTGGAGGAGTCTAGAAAGCAATTTTTTTTGCAAAAAAATCAAAAGGTTTATTAGAGGAAGGACCCAGAATAAGGAATCCACTACATTCAATTTCTTCGAGACAGCGTCCAAACCAGCATGCCCTGAAGAGAAAAGGGGTTTTCGGGATAAACAGAAAGTTAATGTTTTTTCACATTAACAATATTCGCCAGATCTTTGACCTTTTGACTTGATTCTATTTCCAAACTTGAAAAAAAAACACCTTCAGAAGGAAGAAACAAGTCCAGGAAATCAGGGTCATACCCAAAAATGAGTTCTAATAAGAATCAGAAATTGGATAAAAAAATGTTAAGGACATTTGTTTTAATTAAAAGAGATTAATAAGTTAAACCATGAAGACTAAATCATTGAAAAGCGTCGTTTGCTTCTTTCTGAGCACCGAGGACATTATTTATTGAACAGCCCTCGTATATATATATATATATTTCAGCCCATCATCAATTGAAAAAGAAGCTAACATTTCCGTTTTAGTTTTCTATTTGTAAAAATTTGGAATATATACTCTTCAAAAAAAAAAGAAACGCACAGTAGAAACAATGCCCTGAAAATGTATGATAGTTTTTCATACCTTTTATTTTTGTATGGATACGATATATTTGAGTGAAATGCATAATTTTTTATGCATTTGTTAACTTAACAGCTATTCCACAAGTCTCACAGACAAAAAGACCTGATTTTGCAAAATTTTTCCCAAAAATTTTTATCTCTCAGTTTTCATTTGTTGAATTCCGATGTAATTCCTTCAGGTACAAAGGGGCTGTCCAAAGCGGGGGTTCTCGATATTTTGAATCTGGTTTTGTCTGAAAAATGACGCTTCCTAAAAATGCTGCATCTGAATGTTGCGTAGCACGAAAAGGAAAATGGGCGACTGGAAGCAGGGGTATCGCAATCTACAAGTGCTAGAGGTTGTAATGTTATACACAGACAATTTCTAACCTATAAAACATAAACTATTAACATCGAACACCCAATGTTCGCAAAAAATATGGTAGACTACGTATGACATCAGCAGCACAGCATCACTTCCGAGGATTACGAAAGTTGCATGAATGTAATGCAAGGACGCTATCTAAAGCGTTAGCTATCCCTGAACTGCACATATCATCTAACAAGACTGTTTTCAGTTGACTATGATTTATTGCAAGAAGATTATTCATGCCATTGTTCTGACCCCACAACACCACAAATATCGACTTCAAAGATCTCAGATCAATTGAGTATGACCACAGCTTCACTGCTGAACAGTTTGGTTAACCTACAAGTCCAGAATGTTTATCTGAAAGCCTCTTATAAGTTTAAGAGTCCTAATGCTTTTGTAATGAATGTTAGAGAGATAACTGCCTCCAGGACGTTAAAAAAGTTGGTGGTGGTAGTGTAATGATATGGAAAACGGTATCATAAGAAATTAAGATTGATTTGGTTCGAATTCAATGGACTTTGATGTAAAAAAGGTACCCTAACCATGTTCTTTCTACACATACCCATTCAATTTTGCAGCATCCTAGAGCTGTAATGCAATCTCACAATACACAGCCACATATGGCTCGTTTGACAAACCTATTCTTGCAAAGAACCAACAACCTGTTTCAGTCACAGTCATCTAAATCGCTAGATTTAATCCAAATTAAGCAGCATTGGACAAAATGGATTGACATGATTTGCCAAAGACAATCGCATCCCCAGACTCTGCAACAGCTGACTAAAGTTCTACATTTGGAGTGGGAGAGAATTCCTATACAGTTTTTATTACACACATTTGCTTCAATTAGATGTCTTTTGTGGCTATCATTTGTGTCTGGCGGGGGGCATACCAGATATTGATCTTTAATGGTCTAAAACTGACTGTAATTTTAAAATTGTTGAGTAATTATGACATTTAGACAGTAGTCGTGTTGCTTACCACATTTCTGTTTTATCAATGCATCATCTTACTAAATAATCTTTATGTTCAATGTGTCACTAAAATTCTACTATGCGTTTCTTTTTTTGAAGAGTATATATTTCATTTTCATGGTTTCGTATCAATTTAAATACGTCGAGTAAACCCCTAAAAATTGATACTTCTTTCCTCATTTTTTTTTCAATGAACTCCCCACGACCAAATTGAAATTCAAAGAAGCCCATCATAATTATTAACGTCTAAACAGAAATTGTACAAATATATAGGATTTAAAACTTGCTTTTCTATGTCTGTTCTTTAGTCTATGGATGTTTTAAATCTTAATAAAAATCTAACCTCGATTGATCCTTCAGGCTTTTTTGATTTTTTTTTTAAAATGAACACTACAGCAGCCCAAATTCCTAAGCCTGTAACGAGCCCACCAATAGCTGCACCAACCACATGTCCAATATCATATCCATCAGTTCTGTTTTCTATAAAGAAAATATTTTCAGATTTTTGTATTTTGGGGTTTCCTTAATTCTTTGTGTGTACGTTGTTTAACGTCCCTCTCGAGAATATTTACTCGTATGGAGACGCATCCTCACAATGTCAAGGGTTTGTAATTTCTCGAACTCCACTCAAATGTGGAGTTTGAGAAATCACAAACCCTTGATATTGTGAGGATGATGGAGACGCCACTACTTGCAAACGAAGAGCTGCAAATTTTGTCCTATATTTCAGCCACGTAGGTGACTGGAATAATTGTAGATAAGATCAAAGGAAATATTTATTTTAATCTCTTAAAATGGAAAATGTTAATTGTTTTGATTAATGTACATGAATCTTTAACAAAAAAGGTTACACAGCTCACATTGTATTACAAAAAAAAACTTTTCACTGTAACATACATGAAATAGCATTTCGAAATAAACTAATTTCTTTGACAATATCATGCTTCGGAGTTAAACTATCTGAAAAAGTTTCCTTAAATCCATTTATACTGCAATTAAACGAGTTATGATAAACGAATAAGTAAATCTAAGTGATCGAAAGTCATTGAAGATTGTCGAAAAACGAAATCGACAACATTTTATAAAAAGACCTGAACAACCCCTGCCCTATATATATTTATGGTTTCATTTATAACGAAATCTGCCGTTAATGATGAAGTTTTTACGGACAAATAGAACGGAAATATATTCCATCTTACCTCTGTTGTGTTTTTCTATGGTAGAAATGTTAATTGTTTTGGTCGCTGAGCAGACCCCAAGATCTCCATATTGTAAACAATCTTGATTATGTAGACAACCCGACCTATTTCTGCACCAGCGCTGGTAAAAGTAAGCTGTATTTAAAATAAAATTTTCGGGATGTAGATGTATTCATCTTTATAAACTCATAGATTTTGAATAGAAAAATTAATAGTAAACCAAGATGAAAAAATGTGCAATATTTAAATTCTGTCACATCAGACGTATACCACGTGCGTCTCTGCGTTGTGGCAACGCACTTTGAAAAAATTACGCACTTTGAAAAAATTTTTCAAAGTGCGTTAATTTTTGGGACCAGGTTAACGCACTTTGAAAAATTTTTTTTTTTTCAAAGTGCGTTAATATGGACCATATTAACGCACTTTGAAAAAAAAAAATTCTGCATGGCTTAGTCAATATTCCTACAAATCTTAAGTATGATAACTTATCATTTGAACCTGATTTGATACCTTTTGTCCCCCGCTTGAAAAGTGGGGGTATTAATTTGGGTCTACCTGTCCGTCCGTCCGTCTAACTGTCCGTCCATCCGTCCTTCTGTAACGCTTTCGTTTCCACACGATATCTCGACAACCCTTTGAGCTTTTGCAATGAAATTTAACATCCCAGAATCCCTGTGGCCTTAGGAAGAAGACCCCTTTTGAATTTGGGGTCAAAAGGTCAACATTCAAGGTCGTAAAGAACTACGAACGATAGTATTATTCTTCCGCCTATCTCTAAGTCAATTCTTAAAATTCTTGGAATGATTCTCAAAATTTTTATACATATTTATATGAATTTTCATAAAACCTTACTTATTTGGGATACCAAAGAGAGATAACTCTATAATTTTGGCAAAACTTGTGTTTTCCACTTTAGAAATCAACGGAAAACTGAAAATATTTTTTAAACATCTCCCCCCTCCCCGTGAAACAAAAATTCCTTTTTACAGATAATATGGACTGTTATTTTACAAATTTATGCCAAAGCTTTTTTGTGTTTCACGGGGGGGGGGGGGGGGGGGGGGGGCATATGTTTTTATACAAAAAAACGAAAAAAAAATGCTTATTTTTCACCAATTTTAAATCTATTGAAAACTAAATAATTGTATTTTATTAGTTAAATATATTTGCTTTATTTATTTGCGTAAAACATGAGAAAAGATATTAGATACATGTTAAATGAACAATTCCTATGAAAATATCATGTAAGTTAAATACCTGGAGGTTAACAGAGAGATTATCAGATATGGTATCAAATTAACATCGAAAAGCAGACAGGTACTTAATATAATTAAATGTAATTAATATTCTGATTTTCCTGAAAATGAACATAAACAGACTTTGAGATTTAAAAGAACAAAATTTCGATTTACTACAGACTTCCTTGTACAGTGCTTATATTGTATTTAGAATGCTCTTTTTTTCAAATATCATTGACACTTAAGTTTACGAGTTATAGAAATGGATACATCTGGGTGGGAATGATAAAGAGTTGAGCTGATAGACCTTAATTCAACCAGTCTTTTCTTCGTTGTCCGTTTCTAGGTTTTCTTCAATCCATCAGTTTTTAGAAAGAAACACATCAAAGTAAGGGCACCGCAAAGCGGAGCATTCCTTCCCAAAAAGCATGTTCAGTAAATCAAGGCAGCATTTGACATCGATCGCGATAACAATTACGTCAATTCCACACAGAAAAAAATAACATACACATAAAGTAATAACACACATAATCGCATCACTATATCCCATCATACGTTGCGAGGGGGTAATACTGTTGTCTATTTCTAAAATATAAGTCTAATTCCTTTTGTTTCATGAAAATTTTTTCAAAGTGCGTTAAATGTTGACATGGTGTAAAATTATGATGTACAGTCTTAACGCACTTTGAAAACTTTTTTCAAAGTGCGTTGATTTGGTCCCCAAATTCAACGCACTTTGAAAAAAAATTTCAAAGTGCGTTAACCTGGTCCCAAAAATTAACACACTTTGAAAAATTTTTTCAAAGTGCGTAATTTTTCAAAGTGCGTTGTAACACTGCGTGCTGCTACATGTATGTAGATACACTGTATGCACGTTAAATAGTACATTTCCAGAAACCACTCCTAATATACATGTATTTTGAAAAATTGCTTCGCAGAGTTTGTTTTCTCCAAAATTTCTTTATCGGGGTTTAAGTTTTTTATGAGTTATACTAAGAAAGCGTATTTAGCATACCATTTCTACACCAAGCAGCATATCGCATGTGTAGAATGTCTCGCTTGTAATAATAAATTGTAGGCTTCCTGGTCATTTTTCTAGACCGAATTGAAAGAATAACTAATTTTTTGGTTTCATTTGGTTTTTGCATAAAATTATCACAGAAGCCAATCGATTGATCATCGTCATGAAACAAAAATATCTAACAGTTATTTTCCTTAGTTATATTTAAATGCTCTTGATTCCGAAAATTCAAGTGCTTCCTTAGCACGCTTCTTTCTCTATTGTCACACCCTGCACACGTGTGATTTTTTCTTACCGCACCTATCGATGAACAAGTAGATTTATGAAGTAAAAATTACTTTTTAGTATTTGTAATTTTTATCTAGGACAAAGACATTGAAAAGTAAATATCAAAGATTTTATGAATGACCTTCATTATGTGCTCTTAAATACTGAAAATGATGAACAATTCGGTTCATGTGAACCTGAAGCACATATGCAGCTCTGTTCTGCAGCATGTTAAATAATAAAGAGGGTGTGTGTGTATAGAGCATTTATTACAAATGCCAAATGAGATTACAGATTTTACAATATCAGAATGCAGCAGAAGGTGGGGCCCAAAAACATCCCACACCTTATACAAAAGAAAACTAGTACATATATTTTCTACAAAATTAACAATAAGTACCTTAAACAAAAGAAACTAGTACATCTATTTTCTACAATAACAAAAGTCATGCAATAACAATAGGCACCTTATATAAAAGAAACTAGTACATGTATTTTCTACAATAACAATAATTATGGAGGATTGAAGGGGTGGTGGTGGGTAAAATTTGTAAACCACATTTTGGAGCCGAAATGTTATTCTGATAAGGATAAGGCTAATAGCCGTTACTAGAGGACGCTTAAGTATAAAACCCGGAAAACCCTTCGGGACCCATGAATTCAAACAAATTGGTAATTAATAAAAATATGCAATTTATTACGTATTTAGATCACATAAATTCCTTTATATACATAAATACACTTATGTGCTCTTAAATACTGAAACTGATGAACAATTCGGTTCATGTGAACCTGAAGCACATTTGCAGCTCTGTTCTGCAGCATGTTAAATAATAAAGAGGGTGTGTGTGTGTATAGAGCATTTATTACAAATGCCAAATGAGATTACAGATTTTACAATATCAGAATGCAGCAGAAGGTGGGGCCCAAAACATCCCACAAGAGGGACAATGAACGTACAGAGAAGGGTCGCTCGCCCCACCCAAAAATGTGCTTCAATTACTTAATGTATACAGCTTGATAAGGATGTAAATACTAACAAAACTATTCACAACATAGATCAATGGAATTCTAAGGATGGATAATAAAAATATTAACTAAAATAAAATAAATACATAATCGAAAGTCATTAACGTACCAACCAGGAATAGAATTATTGCATATCTTGACAAAAACATGTAAATAATTCAAAGAGATATAAACTATTTATACAATCCTCGATATGATACCCAACAACGAATATATTCAGTGCCGCCTAAGACAGTCACCGAATACTTCGTGTACATGTATGTAAGTTTATAAAGTGAAGACAGATAAATTCATACACAACTCGAAAGTCATTAACGTACGTACCAGGAATAAAATTATTGCATATCTTGACAAAAGTATTTAAATAATTCAAAATGATATGAAATATTTATACAATCCTCGATATGATACTCAACAACGAATTCAGTGCCGCCTCAGACAGTCACCGAATAGTTCATGTACCTGTATGCAAGTGTATATTAGTATAAAGTGAAGGCAGATAAATTCATACACAACTCGAGAAAGTCATTAACGTACGTACCAGGAATAGAATAGTTGCATATCTTGACAAAAGCATTTAAATAATTCAAAATGAGATGAAATATTAATACAATTCTCGATATGATACTCAACAACGAATGTATTCAGTGCCGCCTCAGACAGTCACCGAATACTTTGTGTACCTGTATGTAAGTGTAGTATAAAGTGAAGGTAGATAAACTATGCAATGTTAAGCTTTCTCATGCATTATTATGATATTTAAAGCATGAAATTGACGCTTTTATGAGGTTATATTATTAACAATTAAGTTAAAAAAAAAAGATGCAGAAAAATAGAGGATACCGCCTCAGACAGAATCCTCTATCTAGGTATTTAATACATTCAAATAATACAGAATAAGGGATACTTTCTCAACCATTTATCCTTTACAATCGGACTTTCTACCACCCTAAATGAAAACATAAATGTACTAATAGGCGGGAAAATAGGAACCTTAATGTTCTCTGGAATGACACCAGTTGCAACCATCCCATATCTCATTTTGTGAGTCTTAAAAACACTAAAAAATGTGCCAGGGTGTTGCTGTAGCAAAAAGGGGTCCTTTGCAGCTAATTTCACCTACTGCAATTGGGTTTGGATTTTATTTCTAGATAGACTTTTATTTTACCTAAATTGTATTGAAAGTTGATTCATTGTAAGACTCCTTTAAACTCCCTTGTTGTCGTGCTGAAAAGGTATATTTCCTCAAAGCAGCAAATATGGGTTTGAGTCTGAATGAACCGCGATTTCCCTTCCTCTCAGCAAAGATAAATTACAAAAAGGAACATAACCCTGTAGCAACATGTCCGTTACTAAGAATTGGCTATCTATGGTATTGTCACTATTTTTTTTTTAATTTCGAATATTAAAAGTAATAGGATGCACGCATCAACTGACCTAGCAAACTTTTTTGCTCCACTTAACATTTTACTGATTAACAAACGATTCAAGAAATCGGGGGTGTTTCGCATTTAAAAATAGTATATCCATGCTGCCAAGTGATATAGAGCTAGCTGATTTTCCTAAACTGAATAGGTACC